AATACCTATGTCGGTGTTCTGTGCTTACATCTGTACTTGTTTAGGTGGCTGGTAAACGGAAGTGCCCACAAGCAGAAGGCAGGATTTCTTCAGCCAATACACATACAAAGCTGTTCCTTTGGTCCTGGCCTGACCTCCTCCTCTGGCTCAGCATCTTGTTTTGAAGAGGGTTTTTGTTTTTTGTTTTTTCGTTTTGTTTGTTTGTTTTTTTAACCTCAGGCCTCAGTCCCAAGGCACATCACCCTGAGGAGGGTCAGGGAGCAGTGGGGGACTCTGCCCTGAGCCCCTTCCTCCCCCATGGCTGGTATGCACAGGCTTCAGTCAATCCTGTTTCTTGGAATTAAAAACAAACTTCCTGTTCCCCTGTGGCCTCTTCACACTCACTTTTTGAGTTGTTTCATTTTGCAAAAGCCAGCCATGCTTGGTGCTGCCACTTCTGAGATACTAGAGGAAGCTTCTGGTCCTAGCTGGATCTAGTCCATATTTTATAAACCGCCCCCATTTTGTTTTTGGGTTTTTTTTTTGGTGGGGGGGTTGAGACAGGGTTTCTCTGTGTAGCCCTGGCTGTCCTGGAACTCATCTGTAGACCAGGCTGGCCTCAAACTCACAGAGATCCACCTGCCCCTGCCTCCCAAGTGCTGGGAAGTCTGTGCTACCACCACCCAGGGTCTCTACAGAGCCCTGATTGGTCTGGAATTCACTATGTAGACTTGAAGTCGAGGATGTAATGATTTCACTAGACTCAAAACAAATGATAACTGGGTGTTTATTGGGGAACAATTCCACAGAAAAAAATACAAAGAACTGTAGGAGTGCTTCTCTGCCCTTCCTACCAGATCGATTGGCTGATCCACCAGAAAGGGAGAGCAAAGGAAAGCCAGGCCTCAAGCTTCCCTCTTTCAGCTTCCGTCTGCTGAGGCCACGCCCAAGGGGTGTGACCACCATTACAAGTTCACTGCAAGACCTCTACATACACTAGCTAGGCTGGCCTCAGACTCAGAGAGCTGCTGGGATTAAAGGTGTGCACCACACCCAGCCTTCTTAACAGTTCCCAGTTTAAGGAGAATCCTGTCCCCTCTGTCTATATCTCTGTTTATCTAGCTCATCTTGGAAACCAGGGCCTCACACACACACACACACACACACACACACACACACACACACGGCAACTCTGCACCACCGATGCCCCAAAGGATCTTTAATGTAATTTAAATAAAATCCAGGCTCCACTTGTCTAATCTATTGCTCACTGGGCTCCACTTTAAAAAGGTACAGTAGAGTAATTTTAGGCCGGGCGGTGGTGGCACACCTTTGATCCCAGCACTCGGGAGGCAGAGGCAGACTAATCTCTGTGAGTTCAAGGCCAGCTTGCTCTACAAATGAGTTCCAGGACAGCCAGAGTTACACAGAGAACCCCTGTCTCAAAAAAAGAAAAAAGAAAAAGAAAAGCCCTGATTTCTTGCCATTCCCATGGAACAGCAGGGATCCAACTCTCAGCCCAGAAGGGCTCCCCTCACCCCTTCCTCCTGTCTTCCCGGCCTCAGCTTTGCCCTCCTCCTCCCGTCCAGTCCCCCAGGTGCTGTCAAGCTGATGCAGAAAGCCTAAGTCAGTGCACTCAACACCCTGGCTTTGCTCTGCTGTTACCCTGGTCCTCCACCGCGGAGGAGAACCGGGGCTAAGAATGTTCTCCTAGCCCTGGCCCTGCACGGTACAGTTCTTCCAGAGCGCAACACACAGGCTCAGCGCAGTGGTTCTCAATCTGTGGGTCTCGATCCCTTTGGAGGCTGCACATCAGATGTTTAGATTATGATTCATAACAGTAGCAAAATTACAGTAATGAAGTAGAAACAAAATAATTTTATGGTTGGGGGCCACCACAACCTGAGGACCTGTGCTAAAGGGTCACAGCGTTAGGAAAGTTGAGAACCACTACTCTAATGGAACCTAAGACAGCACTCAGAAAAGGGTAGCAGGGCTGACCAGGCACGAAGACATTCTCTCCAGAGAGGAGTGGTCTAAAGAAGGTGTGTCAATCACACTGGAACCCCTCCTCTTCTCTGCCCTCGGCTCCTTTTTGTGGTGACTAGGTAGGAATTCAGTCACCTTCTCAAATGCTTGCAGAACAATGGAACACACCAATGTAGGGCCCAGACAGAGTGAGAAACAGGCCATGATCTGATGCCACTGAGAGAGAGAACCCCGCCTGACAAGGCTAGTTTGGTTGAGAGGCATCCTGTGTTGTTTGTTCAAAGACACCAAGGTCTGCTGTCCCCAGTGTCTAGTTACCGAGTTTCAGAAGGCTGATGGGAAAAACACAACTCCATACCACTGGACTGTTGGAGAACTCAACAGTGGTTGGGTGGATTAAAAACTACAAAGCAAAACAAACAGAAACAGAAACACCACCTTCATCTTAGATTCCACATCTTTCCTGCAAGAGCCAGGGGGAGGGCCTGGCATGAACAGAAGTCTCAGGACAGCCCTGCTGGATCCCAGGGAAGAGACTCTTGCTTTCCACAGCCAGGCCTGGGCAAGCAGAACTTCTTCAGTCCCAAGGAAATCAATCGAAGTCTTGGCCAAGCCTGTTTGAGTTGGTGAGAACCCAAGTGGGACTTGCAAGCTGCCAGTGTTTGCTCTGTAGACTGAGAGAGCCAAACAGAAATGCTGCTTTGAGACTCTGAGCCAAATAGCCATTGGTTTATTCTGCCAGTAGGGCTGGGCCAACTCTGACCACGTCGCCTCTCCCAGTTCTCTGCTCTCCAAAGCCTTCTTGTCCCTAAAGGTGGCTTGCTAGTACACCCCACATCCGGGAACCTGTGCACCTGGGCTCCCTTCTGGACCTGGGACGGGGATCTCCAGATTTGACCTTCTGCTTTGACATTTGGAACCAGTTCTATCAGGAGAGGCATTCACACAGGGCCCTGCATAGGCTCAAGCCCTCTGCTCTGCTCAGCTTCCTCCAGTCCACCAAGCTCAGGGCAGAGGAGGCCGGGCACCAGGAAGCACCAAGGCCTGGGCTGGCAACATTTCTTACTCTCTTACATGTGTTCAATTTGGTCCTTATAACCATCAGTTTCATCACACTGTGAGAGGACGAACCAGGGCTTCAGAGGAGCAGACACTCACCCCAGGCTCCTGACTCTGAAGCCTGTGGCCTACCCCGGGTGGGCTTCCCATCTCTTACTTCACATCAAAATGCCTGGGAAATTCCCAAGTTCCTAACCCAAGCATGTGGATGATTTGCATGTTCCTTGTGCTAGGGGGACATTTAGGGCCAGCAATTAACAGTTGCCTGCTTTGCCCTAGGCCTGAACTGCAGCCACTACCTGGGACCTTCCTACCCTGCTTAAAGATTAGGCTGCTCTCAGCACAGCCGCTTCCAGCTTCTCACTGGCACTAAAACCCCAAGCTTCTCCTCCCGCCACAGGGACAGAGACACTCAATTTACCTAAGCATCAGCACAAAGTCCTTCCACCCAGAAGACAGACAGGCACCCAGCACACACAGGCCCTCCACAGAGGGCAAAGTGTCACAGCCTCGCTAGTGATTTCTCCTTCCCGTTGCTCGTATTGTTCCTACCATGCCCTTAGAAGATGAGTGTTTGCACATGGAAAGGCGCCGAGACCCTCAGAAGAAGGTCTTTGCCTTTGAACGTGAAACTGGCTAGATGACTGTCAAGGGAAGACTCAGCTTCCATCACCGAACCCTCAGCACATGATATAGCTCACTGAGCACTGTCCATGTACAAATGAGGCCACGAGGAAAGGTTCCTTTTCCTGTCCTTGTCCCCTGGCCTCAGGGCACCACAACTCAAGCCAAAGTCCATTGGCCAATCATGGAGCCCTATTTCTACAACAGTGATTCTCAAACCTCCTGACGCTGTGACCCTTTAATCCACAGTTCCTCAGGTTGTGGTGACCCCCAACCATAAAATTATTTTCATTACTGCTTCATAACTATAATTTTGCTACTATTATGAATCGTATTGTAAGTATCTGGTATGCAGGATGATCTTAGGCGACTGCTGTAAAAGGGTCATCCCACCCCCTCAAAAGGGTCGAGGCTCACAGTTGAGAACCACTGCCTAGACAATATACCTCCTCTATTTCTTTGTCTTGGCTTCAGTTTATAGTGGGGCCTTCGGTACCCAGTGGTGGGTATCAGTCTCCCTCCACAGCTTTTCTCAGAACCTACTTCTCTCTCTGTTTAAGGTGACACAGCCTAGGTGACAGGCCTCAGGCATTGACTATGGCAATGGAGAGAAAGTGGACACTACCAGGACTGAGCTGGCCATTCTAGAGTAAGAGGTCCTGCTGCCCTGGCCTGCCCTGGAGATCCAGACGGCTCTCTCTTGTGACTGTACATGGTAGGGCTAGCACTTTCTCACCTCCAAGAGACATTCGGCCAGTAGTGAAACAAAGTGCCACCATCTAAATAAAGAGTCTTAACCAACCACAGGAGGGAAGAAGTCTGAAGGGCCAGATTCCAGGAGATGTAACATGTGAGGTGGCCAGTAAGCAGCTCCCCTAGGCAGAACTCCATGATGCAACCTTCCTGGTCACACCACAGGCCCTGGCATGAACCCCAGGGAAAATTAACATGGACTTCCAAAGAAGAGACTCTACAGCTGAGGGTCTCTGTCAGAGTCGGGCACCTGCACAGGTCAGCCTTCGGGGGTCATGAGGAGGGCCGTGAGTGACAGGGCTGGTGGCACTCTTGTTGGCTGTGGTCTTCAGGCAACTCCCCAGGAGCTCAGTGAGCCCTTGCTGTCCCGTCTAGAGAAGCTGCAGGCTGCAGTCATAAGCCAGGGCGATGGTGAACCCCCATCTTCCCGCTCCTGAGGTCCTGGGGAATCGACTTTCATGAGCACTTACCCAGGCCTGTCCCCCAAAGGTGGGTCTTGCCAACATCAACACTATAATGAGTTGGAGAAGCCGCCTCTGAAGGCCTGTGTTTAATGGACCTGCCACAGCCTCGAGGCCACATATGCCCAAATACCTCTAATTCATGAATTCGGAGCTATGGGATGACATCTTCTTGGGCAAGTCTTCAAGCATCAGACACAGCACATTCACAATCTCATAGTACAGTTCCTGAAGCCTGGAGAGAAAAGCAGGATGGGGACCTGAGGAGAAGGCAGGCTCCATACCACCTGTCCCCACAAACCACACACTGGCACCTGTGAAGTCACCATACCCACTAGGTATGTGTGGGGTCAGGAGCGAACAAAGGCTTCAGGCAGGCTGGAACCCTGGATCTGTCGCTCTGCTGGAGGCCCTGACATAAGTTAATTTACCTCATGGGTCATGTCCACAACAAGCCCTGGACTCTGCAAGTAGGAATGGTACGGTGGTACCTAAACAGTACCTGGGCCTGGTTTTGGACCCAACAAGGGTGCTCCCTGGTCCCCTCCTTTCCAGTCACCCTAGACCCTGAGGCTTCCAGAGAGATTTCACAGAGAAGTCAGGCTTCTGATGCCTGCTCTGCTCGGAACTCAACACCAGCTCCCAATTCTCCTCAGCTCTTCAGCTGCCAGCCAAAACCCCAGCTGTCTTGCACTGAGAATAAGACCTGGGTCAGACCCCATTTAACTGGGCCAGTGGCTCCTTGAGTGACAGGTAGGAAAAGGACAGAAACTTGCTCAAAGACACACGGGAAGATGGTAGCAAAGCCAAGCTAGCTTCCCCACACGCATTCCCTGCTCCACAGAAAGTGTTAGTGAGCAGGGACCTGAAGGGATGGAGGAGGCTAACACCTGGATACAAATGAAAGAGTTGGGAGGGCCAACAGGGCAGAGTCCCTTCCACCACAGACCCACACACACCCCAGCCCAGGGCCCAGGCATACATGGGATCCTGCACTTCCAGGAAGGGCCTTTGTGTACCCATCCACCCTGCACCTTAGACACCAACCCTTCAATCTCCTGGGATCTACAGGATGCCCTGGCCTTTAAGAAGCCTTGGGAACCAGTCACTCACTTCTGGACAACAATGTCCTGGTTGTCCAGGGTGGAGAAGTAGACATCGATGAAGGGAAGGCTACTGCCAAAATCATCCAGGACCATGGGGTCCGTGTGCCGTAGGGTCTTCTTGAATTCCTCCACCAGCTCAGTGAAGTTCTTGCCTCCTCCACTCTTCTAGAGAGGGAAGCAATGAGAGATCAATGACGACAAGAGCAGCCAAGCTCCAGAGACCTGAGACCCCTGTGGGTCCCAAGATCATCCTGACCCTGTAAGAATGAAACAGTCTCATGGACACCATCCCTGGTGTGAGGCCAAAGGCGTAAAGGAACAAGAGACTGTCTAGGGGTGATTCTGTGTGATCTCCTCCAACCCTGAACAAACCTTGGGCATAGCTAGACTGGCAGGCATCTCCATCTCAGGAGAGACACTCTAACAGATGAGGGACCCATTAGGGTCCCCAAGTTAGACCAAGAACACGAGACAGAAGAGTGCAGCCCACAGGGTGGTACCAGACTTGGTAGACTTCCAGCCCATTGCGCTTATTCTTGCCCTGGTCTTAGGGGTGTGGGGGATGAGGTTGAGTGGGCACCCTCAACACAGCAGTCCATCCTTACCCACCCAGTGGTCTTGGGTCGAGCTGCCTGGTACCAGAGGAGCATCAGGAAGACACTCCAGCACAAAGGACCCACAGAAGAGAGCCATTCACCAAGAAGGGAGCATTAGACCCAACCACAGTACTCAACAGTGCAAATTGTTGAGGGAGACACACAAAACAGAGAGAGAAGCATGGCTCTCGCAGCTGCAGGGGAAAGAGGCCTTGCCTCACCTAAAGCCACATGTGCCTGAGCCCACCTAACCTCTACCTGAGTCCAAAGTTCTTCCTCTTGGCTATTCTGCTGTCTGTCTGTCTGTCTGTCTGTCTGTCTGTCACCTCTCCAGTGGGGACACCTGCCTGTGTGTTCATCAGCCTGTTGACTGCCTCTTGCTGGTTCCTCAGAATCATCTGCTTCTCCTCCATAAGCGTCACGTGCCTCTCCGCCATCAGCTCCCGCTGAAACTTTTTGATGGAGTCCTAGCAAGGCAGAATGTACAAGTCAAGATGGTGGTCCCTCTTCTGCACCCTTTCCATTCCCAGTCTTCCTCCTTGTCTAGCTTTCCCTAAAGCTCAGGCCCTGGCAGAAAGCCCCACACACACATAGGACCAGCTCCCAACCCAAGCTGCCACCTGCATATGCAATGACTTCCTACACTCCACTGGCCCCCTGGCCCTATCATGAGGTGATAAACTTAAGGAGAAGTGATGGGGGAAGTGCTTCTGTGCATGTGTTTGTCTTACTGGATGATAAATAAAGTACTGTTTGGCCAATGAGGCAGCAAGTTAGGCAGGACTAGGAGTTGAGGAGGATTCTGGGAAATGTAGTAAGAAGTGGTGATCCAGGCAGGAAGTGACATAGCAGGGAGACTCATATTTAAGGAAGGACAACCAGGAAGTGCCCCCTTTTCCCCTCCAGATTCACCATGTGATCCACCAGCAAGGGAGACGCCAATGGAAGGCGTCAGATAAGTCTTATAAAATATACAGATTTATGATAAATAAGACTGAGCTAACAGATGAGAATCGTAGTCATTGGCCAAGCAGCATTTGTACCTAATACAAGTCTCTGTGCACCACTTGGGGCCCTAACTCAGGCGGGCGGCTGACGTAAAGCGCACATGTGGCGATGGAACTCGGGCGGTTTTTGGCGGGAAGATTTATGGTAACAGAGAAGAGTCAGGTACACATGAGAGGAGCCATCTGACTACTCTACATCACTTCATAAGAAAAACACAAGACCAGCTTGTCTAAGAAACCTGGCCCATGCCCCTACGTGATGGGGAATGTACTACTGTGTATGTTTATCTTATTGATTATTGAATAAAATATTGTTTGGCCAATGAGACAGCAAGTTAGACGGAACTAGGAGTCAAAGAGGATTCTGGGAAATGTAGTAGAGAAGTGCTGATCCAGGCAGGAAGTGATATAGCAAGGAGACTCATATTTAAGCGAAAGAGAAACAGGAAGGGCCCTCTCTTTTCCCCTCGGCTCCTGCTCCAGCAGCACGATGTGATCCACCAGCTAGGAGGGATGCCAATAAGGCGTCCGATAAGATAAGTCTTATAAAATATATAGGTGTATGATAATTGAGACTGAGCTAACAGAAGAGAATCCTAGTCATTGGCCAAGAAGTATTTTATTCAATAATCAATAAGATAAACACACAGTAGTACATTCCCCATCACCTACGTGCCACACCTAACACACGGGCACGCTTGCACATGTATGCCCACACTGCAGGCACAGCCTCACCTCTGTGTGCATGATCATCACACCCACAAACATGTTGAGGAAGATGAAGGAAGCAAGCAGGATGAAGATGATGGTGAACGCCCGGCTCACAGTAAACTTCCGCTTGTCCAGCTGCTCCTGCAGGTTCGTCCAGCCATCGACCTGGTCAGGCAAGGCAGACCATAATGAGCACCCAGACCCCGAAGCGTAGGTTTCTATGTCACCTATGCCAGAGGAGCGCCAAACCCTCTGAGGTGGTTGCCAATTCAGTCTCCACGTCAGCCCTTGGGTGCCTCCCCAACCACCGGCTGTCATCTACACGCGGAAATGCAGCGTGCCACTAGCTGCAAGCCAGCGTGCCTAAGGGACTCTCTACTCTCAAGACCTCACACTTTCCTCTAAGATGCACAGCCTATTTCCAGGCCCATCTTTGGAAAAAAATAAAAGCAAAACAGTTTCTTTAAATGCCACTCTTTATATAATAATTCAAAAGTCTAGACTTTGAGAGTTGGGCTTTGCTTATTCTGGGTGGATCTGTGACAGTTTATTTAAAAAAAAAAAAAACAGTATGCTGTGGGCTTCGTTTATAACTTAAGGTTAATCCAAATTAAGTATCATTTGAGAATTCTAGCAAGTTTTATTACCCTGTGCAATACATGAAATTATTTATAAAATCGCAGGACTAGAGACAGAAATGGAACCACTGGCCTCTGACTAGCCCCAGCATGCCAACCCCAGCTTCCTGTGCCCACTAATAAGCACCTGAAGGTGGGGAAGGTCCCAAAAGAGGCCCTGAGTCCACACGCCCACCCCTCCTAGACAGTCCCTCTCCAGGATCCACCCTCACCACAGTTCCCAAACACAGTACCGTAGCCAGACTGAAGAGAGTGAAGAAAGCTGAAGCCAGGTTCCCCCAGTTATCCAGGTCGCCCTTCTCTGGAGTTCCAAATAGGCAGAACCCCAGGATGGCAAAGATGAACATGAGGACGAAGAGGAGCGTCAGCACAGAGGCTACCGTGTAGACCGTCTGCCCCACAGCAGTGATGAGAGTCTGCAAGAGAGGGTGCTGAAGCTGGCAAGAGCTCCTGGCCAAGCCAGAGCACGCGGTCCAGCCTACCCAGTTTACAGCTGTCCTCAGGATCTCGGGCCATGCCTGACACATGGCAGGTGCTCAGTAAGTGTCAGCTGAATGAATGAATGAATGAATGAATGAATGAATGAATGATCAGGATTGTGCCCAGACAAAGGGCTGCATCAGTGACACGGTGGCATCCACCCTATATAATGGGCGGACTGCACACACTGTATCAAGTATGGGTCACCTTGCCATCTGCCCCAGTGACCTCTCTGAATCTGTGGTCATCCCTGAATATTGCATTTGTGCTTTTCTGCTGAGAGCCAGCACCAAACGTTCTTCCCCCCAGGCCCAGGAGGGACAGGGACACCAGCATGTACCTGATGACAGAGAGGGCCAAGAGGACAATGGCTCCCCATTTTTTTCTGGGCCTTACCTCACAGGCAACTCCCCATCTTATGACCTTCATCTCCCTCCTGTAAAATGGGTAACTCCCTTGTCTATCTCTGGTGTGCTCCGTAAATTTATTGTTCAGTTACCATGCTGAGACGTGCACCGAGTATGTGCCTCACTAACATTGACCTACTAAGGATGCTTTCACAGTCTGTAGTGCTTTGAATAAGAAAGGCCCTTATAAACTCTTATATGTGATGCTTAGTCACCAGGGGGTGGCACTATTTGTAAGGATTACAAGGATTAGGAGGTGTGGCCTTGTTGGAGGAAGTGTGTCACTGAGTTGTACTTTGTGGTTTCAAAAGCCCACACCAAGTCCAGTCTCTCTTTCTGCCCAAAGAACAATTGTTCGTCCAGCACCATGCCTGCTGTCCCTGTTGCCATGGTCCCACCATGATGATAAGGGACTATCCTGCTGTGGAATAACCATTCTGCACACTGTGAATACGTATTACTCTCATTGGCTAATAAGAGGCTGCCAGCCCAGTAGACTTGTTAGAGGAGGCCCTACCCTCTCCACAGAGCAGATTGGGGCAGAGGGGTGAGAGGTAAGGAGGGAGGGGGAACTGGGATTGGAATGTAAAAAATAAATAAAATAAAGTAAAAAAAAAACATAATATCATAGAAATGGAGGGAAGAGTGGGGATTCCCAGGTGCTAGTGAGAGTAGGAGGAAATGGAGGGTAGAGAGAACATTAGCCAATGAGTACTGAGTTGCAATTACATAATAAGTAATTTGGATATGATGCTATTCTGTAGAATTACTAGAGATTGTAGTAATGTACTATGTCTCTCTAAAATCGAGAAGGAAGAATAGTGAATATTCAATATTTTTATGATCTGATTGCGGAGATATATAACTGTGTCTTGGTATGAACATTTTACATATATATTAACAGATCACATATTATCCCAGCATTATACGCACTTGTTTATGTTCTATGTGTCAGTTAAAATAAAATATAACACATTTATAAATAACAAAAACGATGCCTTGGTCATCGTGTCTCTTCACAGTATTGACTAAGACAGAAGTTGATGCCAGGTGCTGGTGGGGCACGTAAGGGACAGAAGCAGACAGATCCCTGAGTTTGAAGCCAGCCTGGTCTACAGAGAGAGACAGCCAGGGCTACACAGAGAAGCCCTGTCCCGAAAACCCAAAAAAGAAAAGAGAAAAAAAAGACAGGAGTTGGTACCAGGGTCTGGGGCATTGCTGCGACAGGCCTGACCACACTGGTTTTTTTGGGAGGCACGTGGAAAACTTGGAGACTTTGTACTAGAAAAGTGGTTGGACACTTTAAGTAGGGCTTAATGTACCTACTACTTTAAGTAGGGCTTAATAGGCCATCCTAGTGGGAGCATGGAAGACAGTGCTGAGGGTGATCTGATCTATGGGGGCCCAGCTCAAGAAGTCCCAGAGGGAAAGAATATTAGTAAGTGGCCCAGAGCCCGTTATTTTAATATTTTTGCAAATATGGCTGCTTTTTTACTTTGTCCTAAAAATTTGCCTGAGACTAACTTAAAGGGAAAGAGTAAGGGTAGGGGATAGAGGCGATTAGATTAATGACAGCCTATTATTGACTGTCACATGGTTACTAATGGTCACAAATGGTCACTTATGCCACAAGGAGCAAGTAGGGAAAGGAGAAATACAAAATGTGCAGTTTGAGGGGGAAGGAGCACCAGGAAGAGTAAAGGCGCCAACTCCTGTGCTCAAGGAGATTAAAAGTTTGCCCGACGCTAAAGGAATAAGGGAGTGACAACCCCAGGGCAAGACCCCAGCTAGCTAAGCTTCCAACATGTGAAAATGAACTAAAGTAAAGCTTACGCAGAAAATGAAACCATCTAAAACAGAAAGCTGGTGAATATGTAATTAAAAGACTTCTGAGTTCAAGACCAGACTGGTCGACAGAGCAAGTTCCAGGACAGCCAATATTAGGCAGTGAAGAAAACCATGGAAAACAGAGAGCTGGTGAAGACGCATTTGAACAAGGACCAGCAAGCAGGAACAACCTTTGTTCTAGACCCAGCAAGCAGGAAAAAGTTGGCAGCTTCGGCCATGCGGCTCTGCTTTAGAGTCAAGGACACAAGAAAGAGGTTGTGGACTTTCCCTCTCTGGCAAGGAAAGCTGCTGAGGCCAGGCATGTGTCAGGGGTGTCCCTGCATGGAGGCCCAGAAAGGGCATTGTGTAAAGATGTAAAGGTGAAGCCTGGATTGCCTTGGAGACCCCAAGATGTTGGAGAAGCCAGAGTTGTGGGATCCCTGCTGAGGAGAGCTGCTAAGAGTGAGTGGATCAGGTCAAGAGAGAAAAGTGTGTTGCAGTCAACAAAGCTGAAAGGAGTTGAAGGCTTGAGAGCCCTTTGACATCTGATATGCGGTTGCAGAGTTCGGAGTTGGCCAGGTTGGTTTTAGGTCTTGCTTTGGTCCAGTGTCTCCTCACTGTGTTCTCTTCCCTCCCTTTTGGAATGGTAATGTATGTGCTGTGCCAAAGTGTATTGGCAGTATGTGATCTGCTTTTTGATTTTACAGGGGGTTACGGTTAAGAGAATGCCAGGAGTCTCAAGAGACACTTTGAACTTTGGACTTTTAAACAGTGTTGACACTGTGACAGACTCTGGGGACTTTGGGAGTTGTAGTGAATACATCTTTGTATTATGATATAGCAACAAGCCTATGTGAGCCAGGAAGCGGACTGCAGTAGTTTGAAGAAGAAAGCTCCCAATAAACTCCTATACTTGAATGCTTAGCCACCAAGGAGTGGCACTATTTGAAAGGATTAGAAGGATTAGAGGTGTGGTCTTGTTGGAGGAAGTGTGTCACTGGGGGTGGGCTTTGAGGTTTCAAAAGCTCATGCCAGGCCCAGTCTCTGTTTTTGCCTGAAGATCAGGCTGTAATTCTCAACTACTTCTCCATCACTCTGCCTGCTGGGCCTGTCTAACCCTCTGAAACTGTAAGCGAACCCCCAATTAAATGCTTTCCTTTGTAAGAGTTGCCTTGGTCATGGCGTCTCTTCACAGCGACAGAACAGTGACTAAGACACAGATAATTTCAAATAGGTGGCTAGTACTGGGGTGAAGATTCGGAGACTTAGAGGACCAGTTTGTCCTGGTCACAATACAATGGCAGAGTGAGGAGTGACTGCTAAACCCATTCCCCCATGCCACTACCTCCAGTCACCAGTGGCCCTGAGCACTAGGAAGGCAGCTTGGGTGGGAAGGTCATCTCAGAGAAATACACTGCCCTAACTCCCCCTGGGGAAATCACAGCAGTGTTTTCAGATTCATTTGGAAAAAACTGAGGTTTTAATAATTGCCTGTCTCCCTGCTAGGGAGAGATGGAACTTCCTCAAAGCTATTATGAACTGCCTCCCAAAGCCTCATGTACTCGGGCTCGATAACCAGTTGACTGGCTTTTTGGAAGTGGTTGGTCTCCACACAGTACAATATGATAGTGTTTGCTGGGGAGGAGGAGGGGGTGGAGCACAGCTGAGGGCAGTCGAGCACATACTCAGGGATGTTGCCCCAGCCCCTTCCTGTACTCCTCCCTCTGCTTTCTGTCCGCCATGGGGTGAGAGCCCCCAGCACATGCTAGACAAATGAAATGAGTACTTCGACCAGACACTGAGCAACCAAGGAGAGTACCCTCCTGTGGTGATAGTTATGATCTAATAAAGAAACTGGAGATTAAAATGCCATAGAGCCGGGCAGCGGTGATACACACCGTTAGTCCCAGCAGCCATACTAGCTAGCCATAGAGGCCAGGTGGTAGTGGCACACACCTTTAATCCCAGGACTCATGCAGGGAGACAGAGGCAGTCAGATCTCTGTAAGTTCAAGGCCACACTGAGCTACACAAAATTGATTCAATCTAAAAGAGAAACAGAGCTCACACATAGTGATCTCAGCACTTGGGATCACAGCCCTTTAATCCCGGCACTAGGGAGGTAGAGACAGGAGTGACATGGCTGGGTGGAAAGAGGAATATAAGGCCGAAGGAGACAGAAACTGAGGAGATTGCAGTCTAAGGTTTGGCAGAGACGGGATCACCCGTTTCGATCTGAGATAGAAGTGAGAGCTACTGGCCTGGCTGCTTTGCTTTTCTGATCTTTAGCTTACTTTATTAGGTCATAAACAATATATCACCCACACCTCCTCCACACACAGGACAACCGAGGCTAGTACCCTCTGCTGGACACCTGAGGTGAGTACCCCTGCCACATGCTGGCCAACAGAACAAAGGACAATAAAATCATTAACCAAAACTGTAGAGAACAGAGGACCCTAAGTGGAATGGGGGGAAATGTGTGCTGTTGACTGAGCAGAGCCCTGTCCAGGGTGCCAGCACCTCAGGCTAGTGGAGGAATGGCAAAGCCTCCCTCTGTCCGAGTGCGGATGCTGACAGTGTGTGCAGGAAGTGCCCACCACAGCTCTCTGCCCTTCCAGGGGTGTTCACAGGTGAAAGCTGCTTGCCCATGGAGACTGCTCCTGTTGGGATTAGCTAGACCAGCCCCTTGGTCCAGCTGTGCACATGCCTCCTTGTTTATCTGTGTGCAGTGACTTCACTGCTGTCCTGCTGTGTGTAACAACCATGCCACTCTGTTTACCTCTGTAGCACCCACACACTGAGCGTGGGGTGGGTAGCTGAGTTTCTGTCTCCATCTGAACTTGCAGTATGCTGACTCCTGCTTGTCTGTCTGTCTGTGTCCATCTAAGCTCGCAGTATGCTGACTCCTGCTTATCTGTCTGTGTGTCTGTCTGTATCCATCTGAGCTCGCAGTATGTCTGTCTGCTTGTCTGTCTGTGTTGTTTGTGTTCTCTTCATTCCCTCAGTTTCCCGGGACAGATCCATCCCTGGAGCCTTGCATGGATGTGCCACATAATGAATTCTTTCCTTTAAATTGTTCTCTCAAGTAATTTGGTGACAGTTACAGAGAGCCAACTAACACACAAGGCCTAAGAAAGTGGGAGACCCTGAGCACCGTGGCCATGGCACACGTGTAAGATCAGTGGAGGCAGAAAGCCAGAGTGCTCAGCAGTAGAACCTACACAGGGCTCAGGAAGGGGCTCTTTGGGGTTCCTACCTCTGAGCCAGCCCACAGACCAGTGGCACCTGAGGTCACAACTGAGCAGCCTGGAGAATGGCAGCCAAAGGAAAAAAGGTCATGTGCTCTGCAAGGACCCTGATAGCTGCTTAAGGCCACATTCTTCAAGCTCAAGCCCACCAGGCTCCAGCTTCCAGTGGTTAGGATTGATGCAGAAACTCAGTCTGGAGGGGCCTCGTCTCTGAAGCCCTGGTCTTTTGACTTCTGTGGTCTAGCCAGAAAGCAGCATCTGCTTTTGAATTCCCAGTTGCTAGGAGACTCAATTCTTAGGACTAGTTTAGCTTCTGGGGCTCTAAATCCATTGTTATCCTCTTAGCCCTGGGGCATTCTGGGTGCCTCCAAGCAGAACAGGTGGCCGGGCCCAGGACACACCTAGGAAGCATCCTCCACAGCACCTTGGATGTGGGGAAAGGACTTGAGGCCTAGGCAGCAGGAGCAGGGAGGGGCAGTTCCAGGCTGGAATGCAGTGAGCAGAGGCCATGGAGCCCCGATAGCTGGGTGCTCATCTGGCAGAACTCTGTGTGAAAAACCAAGGAACTGTCTCTGTGTAACAGACACGCAGCCATGAGGTGGAGGCATTGACATTTCAATGATTAGGGGTCAGGAACCAAGAACTAGCTTTGAGTACTGAGTTTGCTCATCTGTTAGGGGCTCCTTTAGACTTCAGTTGGCAATCTGGGCAGCTCAGGCCTTTAATCCCAGCACTTATGGAAGGCAGAGATAAGCAGATCTCTGAGTTTGAGGCCAGCCTGGTCTACAAGAGAGAGTTCCAGGACAGCCTGGGCTACACAGAGAAACCCTGTCTCAAACAAATCAAAAACCAAAGAAATAATAACTTGAGTGTTACCTCCTGCTAATTTGTCTGACCATACGGCAGGTTAATCTTTACCAATATCATCTTGGTCTTGAAACCAGTAAGAAAGCATGACTAGTTTCATTGTTGAGGCACAAGGCTACTTGCAGTTAAATGTCAAGGCTCCGGTCTGGAGAAATGGTGTAGGAGTTGAGCACAGGCTGCTCTTACAGGAGACCCAGGCTCAGGTCCCAGAACCCACATGGTGTCTCTCAACCTTCTGTAACTCCAGCTCTAGGGGATCTTCTGATCTCCACAGGCACCAGGCACAAACAAAGTGCACATACAAATGTACAGGCAAAAAAAAATAATGAAACATCAGGGCCCAGCTCTGAAAGCTGTGTCTGGCTGTTCAGGCCAACATGAGCCATGCCTTTCATATGGTGCAGGTGCTGTGAGCCAGGACTCACCAGTGCTCGGGTGGCTTTGACCACTGGCTGTCACTCTCTTTTGATGGGGAAGGTCTCCTCGTGTTGGTAAGACCACTCTGGAAGCACCATTCCCGAAGTCTTCCTGAACATTCTCCAGAACATTTCGGAACAGGCCTCAAGACTGACTCATACTCAACCCATCCTACAGCCATGCCTCCTGAGCCTGTTTGCCCAGGTATCCGCTCTCCAAGAAGAGGCTTTTCTGGGTTACTGTCTACCTGTCCAGTCAGGTTGCCTGGGCCCTAAATGTGAGCTCTCCCCCTGACATACCCCCACAGCCACTCATTCCTTACGTAGTCACACGCCTGCACATATATGTGTGTGCCCAGGCCTCACTCCTCTCCCGTGCCAGGCCAGGCTTCTGGGAATTGGTGTCTGTACTTCCTGTCCCTCACCATGGACTGTTTTCTTCCCTTCTCTTGAGTGACTAGCCTTTCTGACGTTGCTAACAACCTCTTGTTACACATCTTTGCCTCAGTTTCTTTGCTAATACTTGGTTTCTCAAGGCTGCCTCCTCAGTGTGGACTTTCCTGACCTGGCCGTTCCTTGGTTTTCTCAAGATTGCATTTGCTTTTCTCTCTGTCTCCTCTCTAAGTGAGCTTCTGTTTTTTGGTTTGTCAAGACAGGGTTTCTCAGGGTAGCCCTGGCTGTCCTGGAACTCACTCTCTGTAGACCAGGCTAGCCTCGAACTCATAGAGATCCACCTGCCTCTGCCTCCCGAGTTCTGGGATTAAAGGCATGCACTATCACTGCCCAACTAGCCATTATCTCCTCCCCCCCCACACACACACACACACGCACACGCACACGGGCACACACGGGCACTCACCCTAATGCCTCTGCTGTAGGAGATAAGCTTGAGGATTCTCAGAGACTGTATACCATCAGCAATGTGAAGGTATCTGTAATGTCTTCCCTTGATCTTTCGGAGGGAATACCGTATCAAGATAATAAGGATAATGACCACATCCAGTAGGTTATAGCCATCCCTCCAGTATTTAATGGGCTCCACATAGACCTTCATGAAGAACTCGCAGGCATAGATGGAGACAAAGAGAATCTCTGAGATCTGCAGGGGTCACAGGAGTTAAGAGATCAAAACAAATGCAGAGACCCATAGTCCCAGCCCTCTCCCTGCTGAGACCACCCAATCGGGTGTGGAAAACCCCAGACAGAGCCCCTAGTGCTCATATTGAGCCTGGATCCCATGCCCATCTGAGGCTTCCTTGTCTGTGGTGCTAAGCCTAGACGAAAGACATTGGAGCTGGCAGTGGGCAGCAAAGGGCTACACATACAGGTCCTGGTCAATATTCAACATTGCAGTCTACCTGACATAACTATTCCCTAAGAGAAAGTCACAAGAGTTTCCCAGTCATCCTGAATATATATGCTTTTAAAGAAAAATATACAAATATATTTAATCCGTTACCTTCATCATACATGAAGATCAGTCAGCTAAAGTCACCTGTTTTTGAAGGACATTCTGCTTTTTTTTCTCCCTTTTATATTATTTGAACCATCTCCTCCAAATACTTCTCCTGTGCCTACAATTGCTCCCTCTACGATTGCCAGGGGGTCCTTTTAGAAACATCTAAGATTTTCCTCTTCATCAAAGTCCGTTTGTCATCTTGATAATCATCTAATACTCATTCACTCGGGACTGAAAAGCCCAGTTTTAGGTAAAAGTGGAAATGAATGATTAAGACAGATCCCAGTGTGGGGAAACTTTGAGCTGGGGAGAGAGAGGACCTCAGCCTCTGTACAGTAGAAGAGACGTCAGAGGAGCTGGCAGGAGCAACTTGGGAGGCAGGGAGGTGACAGTCACCCAGGCAAGAAGTGTGAGAGGAGTTTTGCATAGCGGGTGGGTTTGCCATTGACACAGGGATGCACCAGGAGAGATATCCGAGAAGCCCCAAGTTTCAAACAGCACCTGGGTCAATGCAGGTCTTTGGGTGAGCTTTCGGTGAGGTAAAGGAGTGCATTTTTGGGAAAGTGGTTGCAATGGTTATTCTCTTTTTCGGGTGTTTGTATGGTTTCCTGGAACTCTGAAAGTCTGTAACAGATTTCATGACCCTGGGTGCAGTTTCCCGCCTTCTTCACACTGCCCTTGTCTACTGTTGGGCATGAAGGCTGAATTAGCTCCCTGAGGTCGTGGGTGGGGCTGAGATGCCCATGTATGTAGTAATCAGAGGAGTTTTATGTCTAGAATTAGACAACCCTCCCAAGTGTGTGCAAAACCTTCAGTCCAGATTAGCCTGGTTTTCAAGGGGGTGGGCATAGAATTTCAGTGTAATACTTTCTAGTTGGTAAGACCATGTGATGGATGTTCAAAGTTTGAAGGCTTTTATTTTCTTACAGAGAGTCAGTTTTGTAAATTCTTTTCTGGAAAATTGTTCCAGCCGGGTTTTCCAATGTGCTGGCATTAGTTATCAGATTTTCTTTTTAAAGTTAGGCTTTCCAATTTCTTTTATCCCAATCGATTTATTTAGTCTGTACACATGTGTGTGCAAGGACACCGGCAGGTGCCACAGGGCTACGTGTAGAGGTCAGAGGACAACTTGCTAAAGTCAGTTCTCTCCTTCCACCACCTGGTTTCTGGGGATCACACTCGGGTCATCAGGCTGGGCAGCAGGCACCTGGGCTTTGTGGTCGCTCTCCTGGTGCCTACAATTAAATCTGTTTTCTATTTCATTCATTTCTGCTTTTAGTTTTACTGTTTCCTTCTCCTGTTTTTGGTTTCATTTATCCTGTTGCTCTTCCTCCAACAATGCAACTCATTACTTTCTTCTCTTCCTCCTGTCCCCTCCTGTCCCCTCCTATCCCCTTCCTGTCCTCCTCCTGTCCCCTTCCTGTCTTCCTTCTGTCACCTCCTGTCCCCTCCTGTCCTATCCCTCTTCTCCCTTCCTTTCTAGATGTTAGGGATCAAACCCAGGGCCTGTGCACACTAGGGATGACTTCTACTCCTGAAGCACAGTGCCGGTCCCTCATTAGCTTATTATTAGGGTGTGTCTGGATGATGTGTTCCAGGGTGTGTGTGTGTGTGTGTGTGTGTGTGTGTGTGTGTGTGTGTGTGTGCTACCACATGCATGCCAGGGCCCACTTGTGGAGGTAAGGTCAGAGGACAATTTTCAAGCCTCTGGTTCTTTCCTTTTACTTTGTTGAGGCAAAGTCCCCTGTTTCTGTGGCACTTCAAACCCCAGGCTAGCCCAGGGTGCTCCAGCCACCTCCCAACTTAGAGTAGGAATGCTGGAATTACATATGCAAACAACTGGTTTGCATTGTGTGTGTGTGTGTGTGTGTGTGTGTGTATGTGTGTGTGTGTGTGTGGGTGGGTGTGTGTGTGTTTGTATGCACAGTGAGCATGTGGTTGTCAGAGAACAACTTGTTGGACGGAGCCAGTTCTCTCTTCCACATGGAAGGCTAAACTCAGGTCATCAGGCTTAGCAGTAGGAACCTTCATTCGCTAACCTACAACATTTTGGTAGGAGTAGAGCACATTGGTTTGGTTTGATTTTGACATAACTATGATCCATTGTAATGGCTCCTTTTTCCTCCTTATTTCACTATTTTGGGCCCCCTTTCTCTGGTTTGACCCTACAGGTTTTCTAATCTTTTCTGTCTTTTCAAGGAAGCAACTCTTTGATTCTTTATCTTGTTTTATTCGTTTTTATTTCACAAATTTCCATCCTGATGGTAATTATTTCTCCCATTTGCTAATTTTAGGTTTGGTTTATTGTTTTTCCAGCTCCCTGAGTTGTGTCAATAAGTAATCTGGAACCTAATTTCTTTCACCATTTTAAAAAGATTTGTGTTGGGGGTTTGGTCACAGCCACAGCACCTAGGAGAGTCAAGGCACTGGTCCACTCCATCCACCTTTCTGTGATCCCAGGCTCGTAGGGCAAGCACCTTCACCCAGTGAACCATCTTACTAGCCCATCCAATTATGTAACACAGGCACTTAGAGCAGTAGCTTTTCCTCTTAGGAATTCTTCCATTTATACCATGGGTTTGATGTGTTGTGTTTTCATTTCATTAGACTCGAGGAATGTCCTTATCTCCTCCTTGGTTTCTTCAAGGACCCATTCATTGTTCGATAGTGGGCTCTTTGATCTCCATGAGTTTCTCTTGCCATTGCTTTGTGATTTTATTTTCCATTGTGATCAGTTAAAATATAGGCAGTTATTTCAACTTTCTTTTATTAAGATTTGGCTCTTGATAATAGAAATCTATGTCTATAGTCCCCAAATAATTTGGTATTTACCATTAATTTTTTTAAATCCCCCATTTTTTTAATTCCTTGCAGATTATCTGGTAAGGACTCCAAGTGCTGTGAAATGGAACACTTGCAGAGGACCTGAGTTCATTTTCCACATCAGGTGGCTCAGAACCACCTGTTTCTCCAGACCCAGGGGATCTGAAGCCCTCTTCTGGCCACCATGGGTATTGGCATGCACAGATACTTACATACAGAGATACACACAAATAATATTTTAATCCAAGTAGTGTGACTGAAGAACACTCCAGTCTACATTCTGTAGTGTGTCCTTCCTCTCCTCCCTGTCTCCTGGCAGTAGGCAGCTGGTTCTAAAAGCTCGAACATATTCAATTTTATCCCAAGCAAGGCTGCATAGCTTCCTTTCATAACAGGTACATGGCATCTGCTGGTTTCTTGTTGATGCTCAATGCCCAGATCAATTGCTTCTCCATAGTTGAGGCGGGTGACATGCTGTCATTTCTTTCTAATGTATCAACTGAATCACTCAGCATTTTCCATCACTTCCATTTCTAATGAGTTTTTTTTAATTCCTCGATTTAATTCAAGCTACGGTCTGTTGTATTTAACTGTTTGTTCTACTTTAGCCTTTGTTTGAAATGGTTTTATTTGATTTCCAGTTGTTTTCTGAGTTTCTTCACTTTGTTTCTGCTCCTTCCTACACCTACAACGTCCTCCTGAACATTGCTTTGCTCCAGGGTTAGATGTGATCATGTTTATCTGATTTTGTAGGCTTATCCTTACAGTGGGTTTCATTACCTCTAGATCAGATTCCTTACTCTGTTTTCTTACACTAATGTGTGGTGTTTTACCTCGACCTTTCCTATTGTGCTTTTCATCCTAAATTCATTTCCTAACCTTTAAGAAAGTTTGCTCTAACTCCATTGAGCTTTTGTCCTAAAATGCAGGACCTTCATTTGGGGGGGCTGTTTGAATTCTATTTCCTCCTGATTTATCTGAACCCTGTCTTTTTTTCAGTCTCTATGTCTCCAGCTTGCTAAATCTTACTCCCATTCTCCTAAGTGCCTGACAGTCCTTTGGAGGGTTCCTTCCCAGCCAGTTCTCCTCAGTCCTGGATTGCCCCAGCCCCTTTGGAGGTGACTGGGGACTTCTGTACTCACGACTGGTGTAGGTAGCACAATTCTTGCTTTGGATAGCTGGCCTCACCTCAGCCCAGCACATTTTTCCCTGGTGCCCCTCTGCTTCCTCCCCACAGGGACTGACACTAGATTCATTGGAAATGCTGCCCATGAGTCTTGGATATGACCTCTAGTTTCCCTGTGTATAGTAAGAGAGGGTTCAGGGGGATTGCCAGGCATACCACCACCACCACTTCTGCCCCTATCTGATGCTACTGTGGAGGTCAAAGGTCTTTTAAATTGTTGCTACAGAAATTTTCTTGCAGCAAAATGCCTGTGGAATGTTTTTTAACATTTTCAGAAAAAAAAACAAGCCAAGTAGAATAAAAAGCATCCGTGTGCTCACCTCAAAGAGTCGGAACAGTTTGTACCTTATGTTGTAATCAGTCCCCAAGACCATAAAAAAGGCATTGGAGGTGATGGTGCTGATCATGAGAAGCTGGAACAAAGGGTTCTTTAAGACCTTCCTGAAGAATGCCTGGCACTCAACATCCTTCCTCCTGTCAAAAGGGCAGATGAGAGGCATGGTTACCACAGAACAGCTCAGTTCTCACTCAACTGCACCCCTGATGATGACTGACCCTGTAACTGGGTGCTGCTCAGAAAAGCCCATCACCACCCTCTCCCTGGACTCCTGAAGAAGAATTGTCACTACTTCCCAGACCAAGGAATCACCATCTCCACTTCCTTAACAAATCATCCACAAGTGACTACTGTCAGTAAACACCAGGGACACGGGGACATATCTCATAGGAAAAACCAGTGTACACACACACACCCAAAATGATATCACTGACTTGTAAGCACACATACACACACATTAAATGATATCTGACTTGTAAATACACACACACACATTAGATGATATATATCATTGACTTGTAAATACACACACACACACACACACACACACACACACACACAATCTATGATAAAGTTAGACACCCTAAGAGAAAAGGGACACACATTCAATAATGACAGTACAAATGGTATCAGGTAGATACAAAGTAATACCTTTAAGTTTTTTGATTATAAAAATCAGTCAAAACTTCCAGGTGATAATATTTCATGACTGCAAAAGTAGAATGTGATGGGACATTCTTCTTAAGGAACAGGAACACCTATATTGATCAGCTTTTATTTTTAAAAAAAACACAAAAATAAGCAAATAAAACAGAACTGTCCATGTCCTCTTCCCCAGACTCTAGCCCAAAAGAAAACAACCTGAAATGTACACAGTGACTTAGTTTAGCACATGTATCCCAGGGTTATTTATAGTGACGAGAACTTGCAAACAATTTTAAGATCTAACAGAAAGGACTGGCTACAGGCTGGTGAGAGGTTCAGGAGACAAACACACTTATCGCCAAGCCCACACGGTAGACCCCACAAGTTGTCCTCCAACCTTCACAAAGGTGTCAGGGCAGCCACACGCCCTTACATATATGAACACACACATTTTTTTTTTAATTTTAAAAGACTGGTTAAGTAAACTATGGAATATCATACCATGAAATACTGATCCTAAAGTATACCTATGCATTTTTTCATGGCTTCGAAAAGTGGTTATGATCTGGTGGAGAACACAACACAAAAACAAAACAAGATGGAAACTCACTCATCCAAAAAGACCTCACCCAGTAAGTGGAGATCCATCAAGAGCAAGAGCAACCTTTCGAGCGTCTGCTGAGCTGCGGGGCCCAGGCGCTCTTCTTCCACCTATGCCTCAAAAGATTTGTTTGTTTGGTTGGTTTTCAAGACAGGGTTTCTCTGTGGCTTTGGAGACTGTCCTGGAACTAGCTCTTGTAGACCAGGCTGGACTCCAACTCAGAGATCCACCTGCCTTTGCCTCCCAAGTGCTGAGATTAAAGGCGTGCTCCACCACCTCCCCGCAAAAGATTTTTTAAAAGAGTGGTATATTTTTCCTACTCTCTATAACAAATGAATACATTCTCTTACAGGTAAATACAGAGAGAGGGAGAGGGAAGGGGGAGGGGAGGGGAGGAAAAGGGAAGGGAGGGGATGGGAAAGGAGGGGAGGAGAGGAGAGGAGAGGGAATTCACTTATGACAGCCTGCACCTGAGGCCTCAAGCCTACTCAGGAGGCTGAGGCAGGAAGATACCTTGAATCTACAACATGGTAAGGTCTTCATCTTGGGAGCTGAAGCCCCTCTGGCCTCTGTGGGTTCCACCCATGCAGGTGGGGCACATACATGCATGCTGGCACTCACATAACACATGTACAGAAAAAATCCACAACTCTTGTTGTGGAATATGATTTTAACTGTGTGAAGGCGTGTTACATTTGTCTGTGTTGTGGAATATGACTTTAACTATGTAAAGGTGTGTTACATTTGTCTGTGCTGCACTTGTTTAACTATGTAAAGATGTGTTGCTGTTTCACCCTGCCTGCCTAAGGCACCTGACTGATCTAACAAAAAGCTGAGTAGCCAATAGCTAAGCAGCAGAGGGATAGGCGGAGCTGGTGGGCAGAGAGAAACAGTAGATAAGTAGGATGGAGAGAGGGAGAATGAGAGGAGAAAGAGAGGGAGATACCCAGGGCCGGACAGCCAGGCAGCTATCAGCTAGCCAGACACGGAGTAGGACACATATAGTGAAAGAAAGGTAAAAATCCCCACAGTGTGGCTGGAGAGACGGCTCAGAGGTTAAGAGCACTGACTGCTCTTCCAGAGGTCCTGAGTTCAATTCCCAGCAACCACATGGTGGCTCACAGCCATCCATTATGAGATTTGGTGCCCTCTTCTGGCGTGCAGATAGACATGCAGACAGAATACTGTATACATAATAAATAAAAAAAATAATCCCCATGGTATGGATTTGGTATATTGAAAAAAAATTTAAAGCTATTTTTGTTATACTGTATGTATACTTCTACTCTTGTTTGGGGTATTGTATTTATGCAGCTCATTTACAATGTAATTTATAATTAAGAAATGCAAGTTAGTAGCTAGTCATCTATAATAACCAAACTTGTAGTCATGTTATGTTTGTTTATAAGTTTAAACATATATTTTAGAGATAGATGCTCTTCAAATGCTTCAGAGATTTAAGATGTTTAATAACACAGGTAGGGCTTTTCATGGCAATGAGACATGTCTGCTCCTGCCAGCACCAATCCATTCCATAAAAGGATGACAGGCATCAAAGAACCTCCATATGGAGTTTGCTTCCACTGTGGCAAAGACAGCCATTTGGGCAAGATATTGTACTTGCCTTGACTGCTGACAGTATACCGTCCAAACTGGACAAGCAGGGCACAAAGGAAAAAGACGGCCAAACTTTGCCAAATCAAGGCAGAACAGTACTTCAAAATTCCCGCTATATAGAAAAATTTTCCAGATATTCTAGGCCTGTAGACCAAAGATGAATGCCCCAATGTTGCAAAGGAACCTTGAGTGACTGTCCATGAAGCCAGATGTCTGTATCACTTTTATAGTTTTTGAAGTGGTTTACACTGCATTTCCTGTTTACTCAGGTAATATTATATCCTTCTGGGGTCTTTGATGGAGTTGGAGACTAGATAGTTACAGTATTCCTTAGTTATGATTGAAGGTAAACTAGATACAAAACTTTGGGCTCATCAGGATAGGATAAATAATGGAGTATTTTCTCTGAATTTGACAAATACAAATGGACTGGATATTGTAAATGCAATTTTTACTTGATAATTGTTCTTATTGTATATAGTTTTATTATGTTAAAGCTAAAACCTCCCTTTTATTTAGACAAAAAGGGGGAAATGTTGTGGAATACTACTTTAATGATATAAAGATGTGTTGCATTTGTTTAACGATGTAAAGATGTGTTGCTGCCTGTCTAAGGCATCTGATTGGTCCAATAAAGGCTGAACTAGCTAGACAGTAGAGGGACAGGCAGGACTGGCAGGTTGAGAGAATAAGTAGGAGGAATAATCTAGGCTCCAGGGGAGAAGGGAAGAGAGATGAGGGAGAAAGAGAGAGAAAGACCTGGGGCCAGCCAGCCACCAGCCAGTCAGACACAGAGTAGGACATACAGAATGAATGAAAGAAAGGTAAGAATCCCTGAGGCAAAACGCAGGTGAAGAGGACAGGTTAATGCTAGTTATAAGAGCTGGTGGAACAAGCAGAAGCTAAGGCCGAGCATTCACAAGTAATAGTAAGTCTCTGTCGTGATTTGAGGGCTGGCAGTCTGAGAAAGCCTGCTACAGACTTTGACCTATAACAAAACATGTAATTTTCATTATATGATTTGAAATAGGTCCTGTAGCAAAAGAAAGGGAAAAGCCTTCAAATTATCTAATACGTTAATAGATGGACACAAGTCAAATACAGACTCCAGGTGAACAGCATATGTGCCAACCTCACCCTCCAGGGGAACCAGCATATCTGAGGCATGCTCTCCTCTCTCAGGGTGCAGACAAGCACCCGTAGAAGAGGCTGGGACAGTTCAGGTGCCGTGTCCCCAGGCTACACGCTACTCTTCACACCGTTTCTAACCATGGAGGTAAAGGGTACTTACTTAATTTTCTTGAATCTTGCGTACAGTGCCTCTGACGCAGTACCAAACAGTGAGCTGGACGCAACTCTTACCGGGGGGTTGTGGTGAAAGTATTGAGACATTTCCCAAATTTTCTTGTTTTTAATCATACAACCAAAAGCCTCTGCCTAAGGATTTCCTTGGCACCTGGATTCTAAGAAGCAGCAGAGGGACCCTGGGAAGGGTTCTCTGCTTTATGAGGTCACTCTTCTGCATCCCAGCAGTTACAGCCTGAGAGGGAGGCCTGACTGTGGGCTCATCCACTTGCAAGTCCTTCTTCTGAGGTGGGGAGTGTCTCACAGAGGATGAGTCCCTAGCAATAGAGGTAGAGATGTAGATTTACTTCCCTTGGGATGTGCCCACCCTGGAAAAGGCCTTTTATAAGTCAGCAAGACAAGTTGAGGGACAAGATGAGGAAAAATTAAGCTTTCTGAGTTTCTAAGGGACAGAACACACCCAGAGTTAGCACCAGAGACACCTAGACAGAAAGGAAGATTGCAATGGTTGAGGCAGTGGACTCAAAACCCAGGGAAGGCAGAGAAGTTATCCCAGGTCTTGCTATTTGGAGGTTTGGGATATGGCTACCAAAACTCCTTTCCTGAGGAACATGTAAAAAATTTCTAAGGTCCCAAGGGCAAATCTGGAGAGGATTGCATAAAAGTTCACTCCCAGGGAATCAAGGAGTTTACTGGGCTTACTTACATAGCACAGATAAGGGGTTACACACAGGAGCGTGGAAGTTCCCTCCCAAAGGCAACACTGGAAAGTCTACCCAGCAGGAATCATTGCTTTCCCATGGATGCATAAATAGAGGCAACTCCCCCCCCCAACCCTCACCAGCATATAAACTCTAGCCCTGCCCTGACACCAATCAGGGCAGAATTGCATGCAACATGTGGTAAGGAACGGCTGGGTACTCCGGTTAGGGTCCTGTGAACCTCCCATCCTTCCTTCTGTGGGGACATCAGCAGTCAACCAGCCCAGCTGGGAGGCTTGCAAGCCAGCACAACTCCCAAAGATGCTGGTTGCTGGGCTCAGAGGATAGTCATGAATAATGTGGAAACTTATATAGTGTGAGGAATGAGCCCAAGACCTAGAGATGTTTTAAAGTACAAGAGCTACAGGGATTTAGTTCTGTTCAACCTTCAAATTTATTATCTTGATCTTTGCCCCACTTTGGCTCATTTCTCATAAGGCAAGACAGAGATCTGGATTGCTGTGTATATTAATGTTTAGTCACTGAGTTAGACAAGTTCCTGAAAACACAAGTTCTTGAGCTAAAAGGAAATGGAGCTGCCACCCCACCATCTCTACTCCCTAACATTCTTTCTTCTCTATTGCTTGCAGTGTTAGGTGAAGCAAGAACCCACAAAAGTGTGACAACCAATTTATTAAGGGGTGCAATGAAAAGACAAACTCACAGACACAGAGCAAAGCAGATATCACTGCAAGAGCGGGAGCAGGAGAGCCAGAGTGTGCTTCCCCTCCAGCCTGTCAGTTGTCAGGCGGCAGACAAGACCACACCCTAGAGCTGGCAGCCCCAAGGCTATTGCTGTAATGCATTCTCACAATACTTCCCTCCTTTTTTTTCTAAGTAAGAAGATTCTAAACTAATACAAAACTATATAAGATAAGAACAATTACCAAGTATTGTCCAGGAGAAACAAAATCCAAACAGTTATGGAAAGAAAGAAGGCAGAGTCAGGAAGACACCATGTAGCTGCCAAAGATACCAGAACATTACCACTAAGCATGGCCACGTGGTGATACATAGATTATTAAAAATGAGTTAATTTAGCTGGGCGGTGGTGGCGCACACCTTTAGTCCCAGCACTCGGGAGGCAGAGGCAGGTGGATCTCTGTGAGTTCGAGACCAGTCTGGTCTACAAGAGCTAGTTTCAGGACATCCTCCAAAGCCACAGAGAAACCCTGTCTCGAAAAACCAAAAAACAAAAAAAAAAAAAAAAATGGGTTAATTTACAAGAGAGCTAGCCAGTAATACGCCTGAGCCATTGGCCAAACAATTATATTTAATATTAGCCTCTTAGCGGTTATTTCATAAGTAGCTGCGGGGACCCATGAGCAGGAGAGAAGCTGGTCCAGGGGGACCATTAAGACAGAGAAAAACATTCAACTACAGTTACAGCGGAACCTACAACCTTATGTGATGGGCAGGCACTCTACCCAAGTTAGCCCTTAGTATTCTAAAACATGTCCATGTCCATTGCTGGTAGGAAAATACTGACATAAGCAACTGAAACACTCAATTGAGAAATAATAGCATCTATACCCTGCCCAATAGGAGAAATAAATCCTGGTGATTATAATCAACAATAGTATGTCACATAATAAAAATAGAGGAGAGGACTTCAAATCTTCTGATCCTAAATGATAAATGTTTGAGATGGAGATAAGTGCCCTGAGTTGGTCAGCCTGACACAGTCTGACATAGCCCAGGCTGGCCCCAAACTTCATATGTCGCAGAGAAAGACCTTGACCTCCTATCCTACAGCCCCCCTCCTCCTCAGGGCACTGTGCTGGGATTATCGGTGTGTACCACCATGCCCAGCTCCATCCAATTATCTGTGAACTCTTTTTAAGATTTTTATTTATTTATTATGTATACAGTCTTCTGCCTGCATGCCAGCAGAGGGCACCAGATCTCATTCAGGGTGGTTGAGAGACACCATGTGGTTGCTGGGAATTGAACTCAGGACCTCTGGAAGAAGAGTCAGTGCTCTTAACCACTGAGCCATCTCTCCAGCCCGTGAATTTTTTTTAAAAAGCAAAGCTTTAAAAAGCATCTGGTAACTCAAGTGAAGTGATGTCCTTACATCACTAGAACTGGAGGACCAGAAGGGCCAAGATGGCATGTGTGGGTCCAGGGAGCTGCCGGGAAGGACTTCAACCTCCCTGCACCACACACTGTGAACCTTGGTGATACCGTGGTGCCCACTGTCCCCTCTCCCACACAGCATCATGTAGAGCTACTGTGGTTCTCAACCTGTGAATCGCGACTCCTTTGGGGTCAAATGACCCTTGCATGGGGGTCACCAGAGATTGTCCTGAATATTAGATATTTATGATTCATAACAGCAATAAAATTACAATTACAAAGTAGCAACAAAAATAATTTGATGGCTGGGAGGTCACATGAGGAACTGTATGAAAGGGCCGCAGCATTAGGAAGGTTGAGAACCACTGAGCAAGAGCCAAGAGGATCTGAGAACTTCACCTTTCAGTTCAGTAAACCCCATTCGCCCATCGGCATCCTTTTTCTCTCGGTTCCTAAAGTTTCATTTCTGGCTCTGCATGTATGTCTACAGTGGTCTTTGTGTGCTCTGGGTGAGGTCTGAGGACCCGGTTTATGTTTTCCCACAGGGTGCTATGAGGCCCATCCTCTTGCCTGTACCTCAGCCACAAGTCCCACAGGGTTCTCTTAGTTCTCCATCTGCTTTCTCAAGCCCTTCTCTCTTCTTTTTACTTCTTAACTATACTCTGTCAATGCAAAGACAAACATGGATCTCACCTTAAAAAGGAAAGAAGACGGAGCTTATTATGGAGCCATTTTGCATGACCACAACTCAGGAACAGACTTAGGTTACCCTGAACCCCATGTTCCCATAAAGTATAATATGCATGAAGCTGCCATGAGAAAAGCCATCCCTTTGGGGACTGGAGAGATGGTTCGGGGTTTAAGAGTACTTACTGTTCTTACACAAGACCTAGGTTTGGTTCCCAGAATCCATGGTTGGCAGCTCAGAGGCGCCTTTAACTCCAGTTCCAGAGGCTCCAATTCCCTCCTGCCTCTTTGGGCACCTGTAACATGAATGTTTCTGGCCCGGCAGGTCCTGCCACCCTTCTCTGCCCCAAAGAAATACACGGACACTATATTAGTTATAAGCTGTTGGCTGGTGACTTGGGCTTTTTTTTTTTTTAAGTATGTATACAGTATTCTGCCTGCATGTGTCTCTTCATGCCAGAAGAAGGCTCCAGATCTCATTATGGATGGCTATGATCCACCATGTGGTTGCTGGGAATTGAACTCAGGACCTTTGGAACAACAGCCAGTGCTCTTAACCTCTGAGCCATCTCTCCAGCCGGGCTTCTTATTCTTAACCCATAATTACTAATCTATGTATTTCTACATAATCTTGGCTTACCAGACCTGCAACTCCTTTGCCTGCTACATGATGATGGCTAACTCAGCGTCTCCACAGAGAAGAGTGTGATTTCCTGTTTGTCCTGCTTATATTCTGATTCTGTCCAGCTACGTCATTTCCTGCCTGTCTGTACGGACCTCCAGACCTCTATGGTTAGCTAATGGCAGTTTCTGCCCAGCTACATCACTTCCTGGGATGACATGACGATTCCTCTCTGCCTACACTTCCCAGAATCCACCTTGTTATCCTGCCTGGCCAATCAGTGTTTTATTCATCAACTAATAAGACAAACATATACAGAAGAACATTCCCCATCAGGTACCTCCATGCACGTGGCACACACAAACTCACGCAGGTACATACACACAAATGAAAACTAATTTTTTAAAGAGAGAGGGAGGTGAGCCTGAGACACAGGATATCCTGTCTCGAAAATACAAACAAAAGCTAGCAAATACCAATCACTACATTGTATACAAATCTAAAAGTAATTTGAAATAAAGTGGGAAGGTGGTATGCCTGGTGTCAGGTTGACTAGAGGTTCTGGGGGTCAGCTGAGGAGGCCCACCTACGCCCCATCCCACAGACGCCTTCCTGACTATAGATGCAATGTGACCAGGTGACACCTGCAGCCACCTTTCCCTGCCTTGATGGACTGTATCCTCCCAGCATGCATTTGTCCAGAGTGAGAAAGTAACTAAGGCACTGGCTAACTGAGCCAGCCAGCAATCAGCTTTGGGGAGCTTGGCCCTTTACCACATGAACACAGATTCCTCGTGTCGCAGGCTGCAGTGGCATGGGTAGGGCGGTAAGGGTTCTTGTCCTAACAGGATTGTTCCTCAGGCCTGTGGAGTGAGGTCTTTACAAAGATGATCTTCATTGGAGACTAAGTCTGTGCACTCAGTTCACTGGCCACGACACACAAATTATGAAAATAAATGGCTCTTAATTCTTCCTCAACTCATTAAGGCCCAATAAAGCACAGGCAATCCATTGCGATGACAGGAAGTCCATAGAGGGCCACATCTCACAGGAGCCATGGACAAGACACTTGTCTTCTCCTTCAACCCCTTGTCCAAAAAGTAAAGCATAACCAAGATAGGTCATCCAGTTTTTGTAACTTTTGTGATAAAATTAACTATTCAAGTAGTAAAGCTGCTAAACCAAAAACACCTCTAGCTTTTTGAGAACTATTCAATGAGCACATCTTGAGAATGGGGAATCCGTTACCATTCTCTGACACTGTTACAAAGTCCCGCTCTGCAGTTCCTGGGTGGCAAGATTTAAATGTTCTCCCATCCTCATTCTGGCTTTTAAGAATGCCATTTGGGGCTGGAGAGATGGCTCAGAGGTTAAAAACATTGCTCTTCTTGCAGAAGACCCAGGTTAAATTCCCAGAACCCACATGACAGCTCACAAATGTCCATAACTCCAGTTCCAGGGGATTAGATGTCCTCTGCTGACCTCCACAGGCACCAGGAATCCATATGGTGCACAGACATACATGCAAGAGAAACATCACATAGAGCCAGGGTGGTGGCGCAATCTTTAATCCCAGCACTCGGGAGACGGAGGCAGGCGGAGCTCTGTGAGTTCGAGGCCAGCCTAGTCTACACAGTGAGTTCCAGGACAGCCAGGGATACAGAGAAACCCTGTCTCAAAAAAAATTATAGATATATATATATATATATATATATAGAGAGAGAGAGAGAGAGAGAGAGAGAGAGAGAGAATAAATAAATCTAAAACCAAAATTCCAGTTTTTTTTTCTAGACCAGTCAGGACTGTATAGAAAATCCAAATTCTGCATGGCTACATAGTAAGACCCTGTTTAGAAAAAAATTTTAAAGTTGTATTTCTTTGAAAATATTATTACTATAACAAGCCAGGTTGGGAGTGGAGAGATGGTCAGCAGTAAAGAGCTTCCACTGCTCTTCCAGAGGCCCTGAGGGCAGCTCCAGCACCAGGTCAGACAGTTCACAACTGCCTGTGAGTCTGGCTCCAGGGGTCCTGCATCTCTGGCCTCCACAGGCAGCTGTATGCGCACACTCTCACTCTCTCTCTCTCTCTCTCTCTCTCTCTCTCTCTCTCTCTTAGCTGTATGCATGCTCGCTCTCTCTCTCTCTCTCTCAATTTTTAAATAATAACTCAGGTTGTTTATTGTATGTCTGACTAGATGTAATGAAAAGTAACTCAGGCTCCAGGTTCGAATCACTCTGTATCTAAGCATCAACTATACAAATATATATATTTATGACTTCATTTATTCACACAAAGGCCTTCCGAAACATTGTAGACGTGCGTTTTGAAAGAGATCACAGAGAAGCAGCAGCCTTTTCAATGAACTGGGCCAGCTTCACATCACGCTTGGTCACGCCTCCACAATCATGCGAGGTGAGAGTTATCTGGACCTATGAAGGGAAAAGCAGCTTTTCAGATCTGAGCAGAGACCTGTGTGTGGGGACTTCTCCCTGGGTGGTTCAGGAATCATCTATTTCTCAAATTCATATTTGAGATTTGGAGGTCAGATGATTGAGAACATGCTACATTATAAAGAAACACTGCATTTCCCAAACCCAGCGAGCTTGGGGTACAGGCTGCACCTGGCTGGGTGTGACAGCCACACCAGAGGGAAGGCTCCCAGAGGACAAGGGGAGTCTGCTGTCAGCATGGAAAAATCTTGCTTCCTAGGAAACACAAACAGAAATGGAAGCTCCACTTTAACTCCCAGAACTTTAATCATACCAGCTCTGTTGAGGCCACCAAGAAAGCAAAGGGCAAGCCAACCTATCAGGCAGTACCTGAGTGAGGTAGACAAGCAGGCTACCAAATGAGGAGAGATGAGTGGGGACATCACTCAAGATTAAAAAGCAAAAAGAAGCATCCAAGAGGGAGAAGTTACTCCTAGAACTGACAGGAGTCACTTCTTTATAAATAACAATAGTGAAATTCTCTTTTTCTCAAAGAGTATTTACAAACCCTCAATGAGATCTAGATAGATACCCCAGTGGTGAGACACTCTTGGGATGTGGCTGTTCTCACTGCACCCCTTAAAACATTTTAGTGTGGCCTCTGGAGATCAAATCTTTAATAAACACTTACTACAAATGACAGTTCCTGAGGTTTATTTCAGAGAAACACATCAAGCCATGCCACCTGGTTTGCTACCATCTCTTTTAATAAATTATTTTCCAATTAAAACTCTGAGGTCTCAGGTAACTGAGTTGCTCTGTAATCCCACAAAATGGGAGGCAGAGGCAGGAGGCTCTCCCAATAGCCTGCTGTTCACAGTGAGCTCTAAGACAAGTAGGGCTACATAGGGAGACCCTGATTTAAATAATATACCACTCCACAAAAATATGTGTAAAATTTTATCTTTGTGGCTGATGTCCAAGATTAACTCAGGATAGTCCAAACTTCTGAAATAAATGTTGGAAGACAAACCTAAGGACAAGGGCTCTCAGGAAAGCCCTGGACTGTGTTAATTAACAACACGGGGTTTCTGAGAGAGAATAAGAGCGTACGTTCTCAGCACAACCAAATTCATAAATAAGTTTCTTCAATCCCCAGATTAACGTGATCCCGAAATAAAGAGGTGTGTTACCTTGTTGTACACGTTGAACCACTCTGGGTGATGATTCATCTTCTCTGCTTGTAGGGCGACCCTGGACATGAAGCCAAAAGCCTGAAAGACACCAAGGCCAGAATTACCGGCCCCACCCAGCACTCTGGGCTGGGAGACCCCAGAGCCACCCAGCCAGATAAAGGCTCACTGGGACTCAGGGAAGCCTCAGAAATCACCAGGGAAGGGACTCAGGGAAGGGCTGCTGTCTGCAGGCCAGGGCACCAGAGCAGCAGACTGCTAGGTGGGAAACAATCTGGCTCAAATAAACAAACCAGGAAATGAGTGTCACCTAGTGACCTGTCTGGACTGCTTAATTGTCCTAGGACTCCTGACTGCACAGGAATAATTTCCCTTCAGCACAGGGCCCTGGGTCTGCCTGTCCCAAATCCAGGGAGCCAATTTGATCCTTAACCGCTCCTTTTGTTTTTAGTGAATGAAGTGCTTGGGCCAGGAGCTGCAAGACTGTGGAGAAAGCCACAGCTGTCCCAGCCCTCACTTCAAGGGACAACCAGTGAAGGCCTACTTTCAGGGCCATGCAGCCTGAAAGAGAGGTCCTGCATGCCCGCTGGGGAGCCTCTGACTACAGCCCCACCAAGTTGAGGTGCCAGCGTGCCTCAGCAGAAAATAAGCCTGGAAACAAACCAAGGGCCCCACCCAACAATGTGGACAGCTGGGCTCACACCACAGGGAAAGCACAGCCACCAAGCAGAAGGCCTTTGTTCTGAGGAAAACATTTTTCTTTTTTGCCTTCTTTCACATTTGTATGATGGCAATTGCAAATAAGAGTCCTACTTTACACAGCACCTCTAAGACTCCGGGTACACTGTGGCAGGAGACCACAAACTATACAAGAGGTTGAAGGGGCTTTGGAACACTGTCGTCAACCAGTGCAATCATGAGCACATGACCATGCTAATTGCCTACACTGGGCATACACAAGACTGGGCCTGTGAACTGTCAATCACAGGTAATACATTTCAAAAGGAAGGGTGGGGGAAGAATCCATTTAGCTATATACAGATGTATCCAGAGCAAAACGAATGTACTCTCCAGCTCCTGTTCCTTCCCAATCTGATTCCCCAGGTCCCACAGAGGGTACAAGTAGCACAGGGAAGTCTGGTTTAATTAACCAAACATGGAGTTAACAATGCTGTGTGGGAATTTCGACTGTCAACGTGACTTACTTTTAGTCAGCATTAGCTGAAGTAAGAGACTGACTGCCCTCAGGGACAGATGGTGATAAGGTTAGGGCCTCCTGGCCTTTTGAACCTGGGAACTCTGGATTCAAATTTTGACACTACCACTTAACTGTCACATGACCCTTTGCTCTGGTTCTTTTCCTGTATCTTTCTCTCCCCAACTCACCCCTGGGTTTTGAGGCAGGATCTGGTGTAGCCCAGGCTGACCTCAAATTTACTGCCAAGTGCTAGAAGTACAGGTATGTGCTTCCATAAATGGTTTCCAGGCTCGGCTCGCTCTCTCAAGCACACGTGCTCTTCGTTCTCTCTCCTCCCTCAGTTAATTTTTAAGATTTGATTTCTAAATGTGTATAGGTGTGTGCTTTCTAGTGTGTGTATGCACCCTGGAGCTGGAGCCACAGGTGGCTGTGCACTGCCCACACAGGGACGGAGTCTGGTCCTCTGAAAAGCAGTGCACACTGTCCATGCAGCTGCCCGTCTATCGTTCCAATCCAGTTGGAAACCACGTGGTAGAAGGAGAGAATGACCTCTACACATTGTCCTCTGACATCTACAGTCTGTGGTAGCATTCACACAAGTGTGCACACACTAAATAAGTGTGAGAAAATATTTAAAAACAAACCAATGTGCACATTATGTGGCAGCTGAAAGAAACAGGCAAAGTTGAGGCAAATACAAACTGGGATGGCTTTGGATACGTGCTTTTAAAAGCTGACTTAGATATGGTAGAGGCTATTCATTTGAATAGCATGTCCCTTAAGCTGTTTACAAAGTCTGCATGCCCATGGCAGAAGGTTTTGCTGGTGTGCCGGTAGGATGCTGTAGGTTGAGGATGTGAGCAATCCACTTGGTCAGTTTCTTCTTCTAAAATGGCAAGGGATTCTGGGCAGCACTTTGGACCTTTTAGGGTGATGTAGTTTGCTGAAGTTGCAGCCGTAGGGCTGATGAATTAGGCAGGGACTGCCTGTGTGCACCTGACCTATTGTCATTTAACTGCCTCCCTATTCACAGTCACGCCTGGTGTAGTGTCTGCTCATTTAGTGTATGTCTGAGTGTCTTGGCCTGACATACGGGAGAAGGAAAGGGGCGTTTTTCTGAGAGACAGCAACTAAATCTTAAACCCTAAAACTAACTTCTCAGCCTCTGTCTGCTCACGCTGAGCAGTGGCATTGGTGGCGGCAGTGATGGCGGCTATAGAGTGAAACCTTGTCTCAAAAAAAAAAAAAAAAAGGAAAGAAAGAAAGAAAGAAAGAAAGAAAGAAAGAAAGAAAGAAAAGAAAAGAAAGAAAAAAGAAAACATTGCAGGGCCAGGGAGATGGCACAGGAGATAAAAGCCCTTGTCATGTGAGCCTGACACCTGAGCTTGACCCTCAGACCCCACAGTAGAAAGAACCAACTCCCAGACGATGTCCTTTGACCTCCACCAGGACCATGGTGTACACACCTGCAACACACATACAATAATAATAACGATAATATAATAATAAATTTAATTTAGAAAACATTACAAAATCTAATAAATCACACCAGATTCACTCCATAGAAAAAAGTATGCAACTGGCTCAGAGGGCAAAGAAAGGATCGCCTCCTTCCACTTACCAGACGCAAATCTATTACCTATGGAGTTCAAAGCTTAAACATTTAAAACGCCCATAACAATGCACATCCAAGTTCCCAGACGCATTGCTACAGGAGTTTAGATGAATAATGGGAAAGGAGGAGCTTCAAGAAGCCTGTGGTTAAGTGGAATACAGTGAAAGACTGTATACAGTGAAGGGCCGTATCTGCAGGCCAGCGCGGGCAGCGGCCCTTCCCTCAGTGGCCCCTTCAGAGCCTGAGCTACTGCTTACCAAGGCTCCAGCTGGAACCTAAGGCCCTGGACTTATTAAGAGTGTCAGCCTTCTAAAACCATCTCATCCAAAAATGCTGAAAAGCTCAAGGCACAACAGACTCACTAGCAACCCAGTACGACTAAGGAAATGGGCAATGAAATAAAATCAGCAAGCTGGAGGGGTGGTTAAGAGAATCGCTGCTCTTGCAGAGGACCTGGGTTCGAGTCCCAACACCCACACGGCAGCTCCAGGTCCAGGGGATCCCACACCCTCCTCTGGCCTCCATGGGCACCAGGCATGCACATGGTACACAGACATATATGCTAGCAAAAGCACCCATAAACATAAAACAAATAAAATTAAAAAGAAACCACACGAGCTTAAAGGAATTAGAAAATAAATGTATGAGATAAATAAAGGAGACTAACATAAACTTAACTGCCACAGTCAAAAAAAAAAAAAATGCTGTAAACAAGGCCAGGGGCCAGGGAAGCTCAGGACAGAACACCTGTCCTTGGTGTGCATTGAAGGCCTGGGTTTGATCTCCAGAACTGAAAAGAAAAATATTGTAAAAGAAACATTTTAGAGAGAGGCTGGTGAGATGGCTCTTGCCTCCCAAGCCTGGGAGTTCCATCCCCAGAGTCCAGGTAGAAATGGAAGGGAAAATCCATCCCACAGAGTTACTCTCTATTCTACTCTCTCTCTCTCTCTCTCTCTCTCTCTCTCTCTCTCTCTTGCTCTGCTCTTCTCTTTCTCTACCTCCATTACACACACACACACTCACATACACACACATACATACTCACATACACACTCACATACACACACATACATACACACATACACACATCACACACACATACATACACACACATACAATAAGGCTGCAACGATGTCAGCTGGGCAGTGGTGGCACACACCTTTAATCTCAGCACTTGGGAAGCAAAGGCAGGTGGATCTCTGTGAATTCCAGGCCAGCCTGGTTCACAGATCAAGTTCCAGGACAGCCAGAGCTACACAGAAAAAACTGTCTCAAACAAACAAACAAACAAACAAAAAGAATGCAACCATGTCTCCACATTAGCAAAGTTAATAAAAATCCTTTTATCATTTAGTAAAATTCCATGTATAAGAATGAAAAAAATCTGTTGACTTCAAATTTCCATAAATTGGCATTCAACATTGGATGTCAGAGGGACAATACCTACAAAGACTTTAGGAAATGGAAGTGAAAACAAAGATTGAAAAAAAATAAAGAAATGTGGTTTTTGTTTGTTTTTTCAGATAGGGTTTCTCTGTATAGACATGGCTGTCCTGGAACTCGATCTGTAGACTAGGATGGCCTGGAACTCAGAGAGCTGCCTGCCTCTGCCTCCTAAGTGCTGGGATTAAAGGCGTGCACCACCACACCCAGCAAAAATTTTACACCCAGCTAAACTATTTTTCAAAATATAAAAGCAATAGCTCAATGTGGTGGCACATGCCTTTAATCCCAGTGCTCAAAGAAACAGAGGCAAGCATCTCTCTATGAGTTCCAGAACAGCTAGGGATAACATAGTGAGACCCAGTCTCAAACAAACAAACAAATAAAAGCAGTGTAAGTTGACTGGCATTTTAGAAATACAGAGGTCAGTGAGATGGTTCGGTGGGTAAAAGTCCTTGTCATGCAAGCCTGGCAACCTGAGTCTGATCCCCAGAAGCCACATAAAAACCGAAGGAAAGAGAAAGGCTCCAGAAAGCTGTCCTCTGAAGTTTGAATTCATGCTGTGTCATGCATGCGCACAGGCACACACACACGTGCATTCACACACATTTAAATTTGTTTAGACAAAGGAATGCAACAACTCAGAGAACAACTTCCATTCATCCTTCTGAGAAACTATTAAAGAAGAAGGAGTTATAACCAAGAGCCTCTGTAGAAGACCATGTCAAAGGCGCTGGCGATGAGAATAAGTTCATTGAGTTCGAGGACTCCATTTAGCACAACTATACCAACTAAGGAGCCAAAATCAAATGTTATCAACTATTA